TTGACCAGCTGAACAACTATCCTCTAAGCCTCCACCTCTTTTCATTTATGTTCAACTTTTTTCTCCAAGTGAAAAAATTTCTGGTTATGGCTCTAAGTTTTTACTTAAACTCCTGATCACTAGGCCCAGAAGGGTTCCATCTAATGTTTCTGTGTTTTAAGTCATGGTCCTAACCACCACCACAGAATGAATACAATAGCACTCAGCATTTTGAATTTGCAGGCACAATTCTATGACTTAAGCTGGTGGGTTTGCCCTGGGTAAACGGACTTAGAGAGGAAAGTTACTTCTCAGCCTCATGTGTATTTTCCATGACTTTAAAAGCATGGCTATTTCAATATCATGGGATCATTAATCATAGATGTAGCTGGAAATGATGTTATAGACTGCCTAGTCTAATCTCCTCATTTTATATGTGAGGAAACTGAGGGCCAGGGAAGTTAAATAATTTTTTGTAAGTTTACACAGGTAGAAAGTGACAGAAAGATTTGAATCCATGCCTTTGGCTCTATGGTCAGTATGCATTCCACTGTGAAACACTATCTTGTTTTACACCTTTTTCCCTCTTAATTTCTATGAGTGACATACACAAAAATCCATGTGGTTCTCCTTTTACATCATTCTAAGTTATAGCATGTTCATACCTGTATGGTCACATTTAAAACCAAGCTGCAAACTGGGCTAGAAATCTGGAAAGGTTGTCTGGCACCCTTTGGTCCTAGTGATCAGGAGTTTAGGTAGAAAATTGAGGCCTGTGTGGCAGGGAATTCCTGAACTCACCAATATGAACACCTAAGCTCCTAAAATGGAATAGAGGCAGTGTAAAGCATAAACAAAACTCTCATCATATCTTTTCTTGTAGGCAGTTTTATCTTCTAGAAATAGACTTTGCACTTTTAGTGGGAGAATATTTGTGGAATGATTGTATTTTTTTTTCCTGAAGTAGGATAAAGTAGGATTTAATTACCAAATATAATGGACTTTTCTCAATGCTCATCCTTCTTGACCTCTCTGTAACCTCTGACACTGCCAATCACCCTATTCTCCTTCATGCTTCCTTCTCTCCAGGTTTTTATGACAAGTTCCTGGTTCTCCTCCTACCTGTCTGTCCATTCCTTTTTCTCTTTTGCTGGGTCTTCATCCAGAAAACATAGATGCTCCCAAGGGGCTTTCCTAGGCCCTTCTCTTCTCTTTCCTCTCCAAACTCATGGTTCTTAAACTTTTTTTGGAGTAAGGATCCTTTTACACTCTGTAAAAATTGTTGAAAAACCCCACAAAGAGCTTTTGTTTATCTGGATTATACCCAATGAAATTTACCGGATTAGAAATTAAATCATCAGTATTACTATGAATACCAGGGATCCCTGAACCACTCTTTTAGAACTGATACTCTGCACACTTTAGCCTAGGGATCTCATCAGCTCCCATGCATTCAGTTATCATCTCTGTGAAATAATTCTTAGATTTATTTATCCAGTCCTAACTTCTCTCCTGACCTTCAGTATCACATTGCCAACTGCTGGTTGGACATCTAGAACTGTGAACCATAGACATCTGATCTCAACATGTCTAAAACTGAACTCATTAGCTTTCCTCTCAAACCCTCCCTTCTTCCTAATTCTCCTATTACTTTTGAGGGTACCACTTTTTTCCACATCCCCCAGACATCCAGTCTAAGTGTTATCTTTGATGGTTTACTCTCTCTCATCCCCCATATCCTATGAATTGCTATGTCTTATGGTTTCTACCTTCACAACATCTCTAGTATATGCCTTTTTCTCTCCTCTGACACTAACACCACCCTAGCATAGACCCCATCTCATGCCTAAACAATTCAATAGCCTGTTGGTTGGTCTTCCTGAGCCAAGCCTGTCTCTACTCCAGGCCATCCTTTACTCAATGGTCAAAGTCATCTTCCTAAATTACCTCAAGTATTAAATATAAAATCATCTGTTTGGCTTTTATTTTATTTTTTAAAATTTATTTTTAGTTTTCAACATTCACTTCCACAAGATTTTGAGTTCCAAATTTTCTCCCCATCTCATCCCTCCCTGCACCCCAAGATCTGCTTGCCTTTTAAAACCTGGTACAAACATCCTGTACTTCTCTTATCTTTCAGATCTTCTCATACCTTTCTTTCCTCCACATACTCTAGGATTAAGTGACATTGACCTCCTTGCATTTCCTCATATGTAACACTCCATCTCCTGCCTCCAGGCATTTTCACAGGCTGTTGTCCATGCCTGAATGCTCTCTCTTCCCATCTCCATCGCCTGGCTTCTCTGACTTCCTTCAGGTCCCAGATACAGCCCCACCTACAGGAAGAAACCTTTCCCAATGCCCTTAATGCTAATGCCTTCCCTCTGTGATTATCTCTAATTTATCCTGTATATATCTGGGCATAATTGTTTGCATGATATTAGACTGTGAGATACATTTTGTTTTTATTTCCTTTTTTCACATCCCCAGCACTTAGCACAACATCTGGCACATAGCAGGCATATTATAAATGCTTGTTGGCTTGACCTGACTAGGAAGCCAGAGCAGGTCTCTTTGGTAAGACAGTCCTAGGGAACCACAGCTCTTGCTGAGTGACAAGAGCCGGAGGCTAGGAAGTCAGAGTTCTAGTTTCCAATTCTAGCCCAGTCACTGACCAGATATAAGATCTTGAGAGATTCACTGAACCAATACATGCCTCAGTTTCTTTATCTCTAAACTGGAATCAACAAGCTACCTCTCATCCATGCATCTACTTTTTAGGGATATAATAAGAATTTATATGAAAACACTTGGAGACTCTTGAAGCAAACATACTAAGAAAGGGAAGTTTGCTTATTTGTAACTTCATTTTTTGAAGAAATCAGTTCCTAAATCAGGCAAGATGGAAGCCTTATCATTGGAAACCTTTGATGTAATTCCCATTCAAAGAAATACACCAAGGACTATATTGTTGTTCTGGGTGGCTCTTGAAGGCCCCATCTATGCATTGGTTTTACAAAAAATGCACTTTTCCTTTTGCCAGCCATGGGGTTAATGGAGAGATGGAAGAATTATGGTCAATAGGCTCCCGTCTCCCTCCACCTTCAGCAACCAACTTTTCAGCAGAGTTTTGGCAACAAGAATTTTATTTCTGGCAGTAATGTTAAAAAAGAGAGCAGTTGTATTTTTAGCCCCTAGGTTAACACTGCAAGGGCTGGCAACTGGAAATTTCACTTTCTGACTTGGATGCGGTGCTCATTTATTTGGAGATGCTAAAAGGAAAATAAATACCTACCCTCCTCCAGTTCCCCATGAGGTCACTTTGATAGTCAGTTTTCTGGCCCAAGCTGTCATCCTGTTTTGCCTGTTTTAGACAGCTAACTTCTTGGCCTTCAAGATTCAGGGAACAATGTTGCTCCAGATTTCCCTCACCTTACAGTTTATTTCCATGAGTGTGAGGAAGCAGCAAAGACTAATGGATGGGATGCTACTTTGAGAATCAAAAAGACTTGGATTCCTATTCAAGGGTTTAGCCAGTTCCTTGCTGTGTGGCCTTCCATAAGTCTCTATTTAAATTTTCCTGTCAACAAAATGAGACCTTATACTGTTCTCACCTGAGTGGGATGTTGAGAGTATGATTGAAAGAAGGAGTATGGTATATTGGCAAGAACCCAGAAGACCTAGTTTAATTCTTCATTTTTATACTTATACTTGGAAGCTTGTGTGACCCTAGGCAAGACTGTGCTCTTGAGAAATTCTCTGTGCTTTAGAGAAATTAATCATCTAGGCCAGGGGTCTATAAATTGTGGCCCACGGACCAAATCCTGCCTGGTCTAAGAATGATTTTTATATTCTTTATTCTACAATGTAAAAACTGTTTTTAGCTTACAGGGCCATACAAAAGCAAGCTGCTTGCCATAAGTTTGCCAAACCGTGATCTAGAGCAAGGGTTCTTAATCTGGGATCTGTGAGCTATAAACAACCAAACAAATTAATGAATGAGCAAATAAACAATCAAATAAATAAACAAACAGATAAATTAATAAACACACATACAGATATATAAAACTGTATTTCAATATAATTGATTTGCTTTATAATACTGTTATATTTTATTTAATTTAATTTAAGAAAAATTATTGTGAAGAGGTACCCATAGACTGCCAAATAGGCCCCTGACATAAAAAAAGGTTAAGAACCCCTGATCTCATGATTGAAAGAGCAATCTGCTACATAAGTGGATCAAGAGCATATGTGAAAGGTTGGCCTAGGTGAAAGGAAGGTTCACTTCTTCATCAAGATTGTAATAAAGGAGAGAATGAAGAATGGTGTCAAGGGGCATTGAGGTACACAGAATGGGCAAAGGAGCTCCATGAATGGTCTCTCTATTCTCAATAAAGTACAGGGTGAGATCCTCATATGGGTTGACAGGTATAGGTATAGGGGAGGGTATCAGGGTGAGGACCAAATAATGTGGGAGGTTTGATGAGGGAAGAAGAGTTTTTAAAAAGCCCTTTTAGAGAGAGGGATGGATAATCTACTGAGAAGGAGCAAGACCAATTACTTGCTATGGAGTAAGGAAAAAATGAGTTCAAATCTGGTCTCAGACACATACTAGTTGTATGACCCAGAGCAAGTCACTTAACCTCTGTTTGCCTATTTCCTCAAATGCTGTGCTTCATATACCAGATTGCCTCACCAATCAACAAATTCAATGGCATTTATTAAGCACCAATTATATGGTATTGTGCTGTGACTAAAAAAAAATATTTTAAAAAGTAGTCTCAGCTTTCAGTGACCTAATATTTTTACTGGGATATTTTTACATTATTATCCCTATTATCATTGGATAAGTATGGTAGGTTTTGGTTGGAACTTAGAATTGGGGGACAGTTCAGATAATGTATGATTTTGAGGTTCCACATGGCCTTAGTTTGTCATCCACCTGTTAATAAGTGGAGTCTTCCCAAAGGATGCTTCAGAGATATTGTGATGGAGGATGTTCTTTTGTGTCTTTCCAGCAAGCTTCTGAAGATACAGTGCCTAGAGAGTGGAAATTGGAAGCAAGGCAGCTGCATCCCAGTGGTGTGTGAACCCCCACCTCCTGTCTTTGAAGGCATGTATGCCTGTACCAGTGGCTTCAAGCTGGGTAGCCAGTGTGTACTCAACTGTAACCCGGCTCATCAAAGGGTAAGGGAGAACCATTTGCATTTCATTTAGGGTAAGGCCATGTCCAAACCATTCTGGCCAATTTGAAAATGTGGAGGAGAAGTCCTCTGGAGGAATATCAGCATGCTACACTTTTGGAATGTGGTTTTCTAAATAGGTGTGTTGACTTTTCAGAGACAAACCAAAGCAGAGGTTATAACCTTTGGTTGTATCTGAAACACTTCAGATGCATGGCAATGAAAGGAAATGGGGGTGGTGGTAGTTCTATTTGAAGTATTATGATGATTTACCATGTATGACTAGGGACCCAGTACATGTATACTATACACACGTGTTGTTGTTCAGTCATTTCAGTTGTGTCCAGCTCTTTGTGACCCTATTTGAGGTTTTCTTGGCAAAGATGCCAGAGTAGTTTGCTATTTCCTTCTCCTGCTTGTTTAATAGATGAGGAAACTGAGGCACACAGGGTTAAGTGACTTGCCGCACAGGGTTAAGTGACTTGCCTAGGGAGATGAGTCTTCCTACTTCAGGTCCAACACTCTATCCACTGTGCCACCTAGCTGCCTTGTTTATATATGTATACATATACACATATATGTATGTATACATGGATGTATTTTTCTGTATAAAAGAGGTCTTAATAATCAAGCAAGCAAGCAGTTTTCACAGCAGAGATTAAAGTGTGGTCTGACTGTTTGCCTCTCAACAATTTGGCCCAAGGGTTCAGAAAGCAAAAACCACAGTCTTATCACGACTATTGTTGAAGCCAGTTTTATTTTAGAAACTTTTCAAGTACTAAACACTTATGTGGGAGGGAGGGAACCATGTGGGCTGGTTGGGAAAAGAGTAATAACCGCTCCTTCTTTCCTGGCCCAGCTCCTCCCCTCCATACCCAGAGCTCCCAGTCCCTTAAGAGTGAATCCCATAGAATAAAAATGAAGAGAGCATGCCACGTTACCAGAGAACAGCAAAGCTGAAATAGCCCTTTTAGGCTGCCAGGTTGAGAGAATGAGTGAGGGGGCCAGAGCTACATGGAATTCTGAAATGTTGCCTCTTTGAGGGATGTAAGATCCATGTTCTCCATCCAGTTGTTGACCTAATATGCTTTTGTGATTCCTTGGGGGTAGCAGCCAGGAAGAGTGACCCAGCCAACAGTTATCATGATAAAAAAAAGGGACATAGATTTGGCCAGATCAGAAATCATGCTGTGAGTGAGACTATGCAAGCAGGGAGAGATGAAGCAACTTCAAGAAGATAGGCAAAGAAATAGCAATGAGTAGACTTCATGGCTTAACCTGGTGAGCCATTTTGCACATGTGTACTATTGGTCACAGGGGAGGAGATCAGGTTAATGTAAAGGGATGAATACCAAGGAAATTGTTGGTGCTTCCCTCCTCACTATGTTATATTTTATGTGTTTTTTTTAATTGACTTATCTCTGTACCTAATTTTCCTTCAGTAGCATATAAGATCCTAGAGGGCAGGGATTATTTCTTTTTGCCTTTGTACCCCCAGAGTGTAGCACAGTGCTTTGTACTTATAGGCATTTCATAATTACTTGTTGAGAAAATGAATGAACAAATGAGAGCTGTAATTACTCTACTTATGATGGGTCAATGATGAATGAATAAATAATGAACTTATTAAGTGCTTACTATGTGTGAAAATATGACGATCTTGTATTCCTGTTCAAAAGAAGCAGATACTGATGATTAAATTTCAGGGGCAAAAATGGGTTTGTACCTATATACCTTTCCTATAAGAAAGGTAAAGAATTATCTTAGTGTTTGTAAATAGTCATATGAATTAATACTTTGTCTCAGTCATTTGGTACTACTAATTAATCTGTCCACTCTTTATTTTAACAAACTCCTTTGTGAAGAGTTTTTAATAACACAAATCTTTGCTATCTTTTTGCATTCTAGAAGCCCATAATTTGCACTAAAGAAGGTTTATGGACAGAAGAGTTTAAGCTGTGTGATAACCTTCAGGGGGAATGTCCTCCTCCTCCAGAGCTGAATTTAGTGGAATACAAATGTGAACAGGGATATGGAATTGGTAAGGATGAGAAGGGATGCTGAATTCTGCCTTAAAAGATGATAATAAAAGTTTTTTTTAATCTTTTATTAATCCTGTCAGGGTTTTGAATCAGATCTGTTGCTTTCCCCAAGGATTTGATGGAAAGGTATGTTGATTCTTAGCTGCTTCAGTAAAAATGAAATTTATGGTGAAATTGTTTTCTTTTTATTTTTCTGCACACACATAAATTTGATTGGGCTCCTTGGACACTTGCATCATGTCTGGTCATGTTACCAACCTCAAGCCACGTGGCTGAGAGTGGCTTCTGAGTAAGGATTTAGTATTTCCAGGGGCAAGAGAGAGCAAACACAACTGATTATGCTTATTAGCAGTTTTCCTCCACGCTTTCTGCCATGGTTACTGGAGCAGAGAGTTCTTGGAGGGCCTATGTGATAATATAACTCCTGTCCTCTTCAGCTGTCTTTCTCTACAGGGGGCTGAGAGCTGGAGCCTGTGGGCAGCCTCTTATTCAAATCATTGCAATTAAAGTTCTGTTTAGCCAGGTCTGATTTATAGAGATGTTGAAAAACCCAGAAGGCCTTGAGTCAGCAACATGTTGGCTGCAACTGGACCCTTTAGCAAAGGGACGCAGTCTGTGGGAAACACATTGAGACTCTACTAGGCCTAGGGACAGTCTTTACAAACCATTCTATTTTGTGTTAGACCATTAGGCTCTGCAGAGGGACTGAATTAGTCAGTCAGTCAATTATCATTAATTAAGTACCTCAAATGTGCCTGGTAGTGTGCTAAGCTCTGGTTTACAGAAAGCATTTTGTTGGCCTCTGGCTATGGGGCTCATAATTTTCAAGTCAATCTCTTCACCATGATGGCGAATGGCTATGTAGATAGGAATGTTGCAGCAGAAGTGATATTGTGTAGTGATAAATCTAGAACAATAATAATCAGACCATGGTTCTCAGGCCACTTGGAGGGCTCTCTTCCATTTGTATCTTACAGATCCTCAAAGGCTCTTAAGTTATTTATTAAAATACTATACTGATTTAGTTCCAAGAGAGCATATAATAGCTATTTTGGGTTAATAATAATTTCAAATGTGACTCCAGAATCATATGAGACTGTAAGCCCCTGTGAGTGGGAAAATGGGACAAATCTCAAAGAGTATGATTTATCATTGCGTTGAATTTTGTTTTGTCAATTGTTTAGAATTAAGAAAATAGAGTTCCGTTTCTGGAAGCCAAGATAGTGGAGTAAGGAGTAAGTCACTTTCACTGTCCCTTATTAACCTCTGAAAACCCAGAAAGTATCACCCCAGGAAAAATCTTGGAACAGCTGAACCAGCAGAAAGATGGGGTGCAGCAATCCAGTAGCCTAGGAAGCTTGAGGGATTAACAGGAAAGGCCCCTCTTGCCCTGGGGGAGGGGAAGCAGTACAGAATGGGAGGTGTCCCAACAAACTAGTGGAAAACCCCACCTCAGCATACCAAGGAGAGATCCTGAACCCCAGGTTGTGGAGCAGGCAAACACCAACACAAGGACCCCCGAGTTCTTCAGTACGGGAAGGTGAACCAGTGGAAACTGACTTGGGAAACCACCACATGCATCGGTGTTCTACGGCAGCCAAGTCTCCTAGTGCCTCAGCAAAACTCTGGGAAGCACTCCAAGGGGAAAGCCTCAGGTGGAGAAACATCCTGCAGCAGCGAAACATCCATCTGAAAGGAGCTGAAGAAAGTGAAAGGAAAGGCCCAGGTAAGCAGGCAACCTTCAGGGGCCAGACTACCCAATCCTACCCCTATAGTTCAATGTTGTTGATTCCAACCCAACACCAGGTAAGCTGCCAGGACCCTATAGCCTCCAACTGCCAGCATCGGAGGCCCCAGCACACAAAGCCAGTGACCAGGCCAAGGGCTCTCAAAACATGAAGCTTGAGTCAGTATGCCTTGCTCCCTAGCAGGAGAGTTCAATCTTTCTAAAGGCCAGGGAATAAGCAAACACCATGAGCAAAAAGAAACATACTATAGATTATTATTATGGGAACAGTGAAGATCAAGGCAGAAATTCTGAAGAGGACAGCATTGTCAATGAACCCACATCTGGAACCTCAAAAGGGAACATGAATTGGTCTGAAGCCCAAAAAGCCTTCTTGGAAGAGCTCAAGAAGGACTTTAAAAGTCAAATGAGAGAGGTAGAAGAAAAATTGGGAAAAGAAATGAGAGGTATGCAAGAAAGATTCAATAGCTTGGAAAAGGAAGGACAAAAATTAACTGAAGAAAACAACTCCTTAAAAAGCAGAATTGGCCAAACAGAAAAGGAGACACAAAAACTCACTGAGGAGAAAAATTCCTTAAAAAATAAAATGGGCCAAATGGAAAAGGAGGTTCAAAATCTAATAGAAGAAAACAATTTGTTTAAAATTAGAATTGGGCAAATAGAAGCTAATGACTCTATGAGAGAGGGAGAATCAGTCAAACAGAAACAAAAGAATGAAAAAAATAGATGAAAATGTAAAATACCTTATTGGTAAAACAACTGACCTGGAAAATAGATCCAGGAGAGATAATTTAAAAATTATTGGTCTACCTGAAAATTACGATGAAAAAAAAAGCCTGGACAGCATCTTTCAGGAAATCATCAAGGAAAACTGCCTTGAGGCTCTAGAACCAGAGAGTAAAATAGCCATAGAAAGAATCCACCGATCACCTCTTGAAAGAGATCCCAAATTGAAAATGCCAAGGAATATAGCCAAATTCCAAAATTACCAGATCAAAGAGAAAATACTGCAAGCAGCCAGAAGGAAACAATTTAATTATCATGGAACCACAGTCAGGATTATGCAGGACCTTGCAACTTCTACATTAAAAGATCATAAGGCATGGAAAATGATATTCTGTAAGGCAAAGGAGCTTGGATTACAACCAAGGATCAACTCCCAGCGAAAATGAGCATAATCTTTCAGGGGAGAAGATGGATATTCAACAAAATAGGGGACTTCCAAACCTTCCTGATAAAAAGACCAGAGCTCAACAGAAAATTTGATCTTTAAATAAAAGAATCAAGAGAGACATAAAAAGGCAAACAGGACAGGAAAAAAAAAAACATGTTATTAATAAGGGCAAAGTGTTTATATCCCTACAAAGGAAATTGACACTTGTAACTCTTGAGAACTGTATTGTTATTATACAATTTTAAAGGAGTATACATAGAGGGGGTAGGTGTAAGCTGACTTTGATGTAATGATAAAAAAAATTAACCAAGTGGGTTAAATGGATCTAAGTAAGTGGATTAATCTGATCTAACTAAGGGAAGGTACTGGGAGACAAAGAAAGGAGGAGGCAGACAAGGGTAAATTACCTTACAGGAAAAGGCATAAAAACCTATTACAGTAGAGGGAAAGAAGGGAGGGAGATAAGTATTGTTTGAACCTTACTCTCATCAGATTTGGCTCAAGGAGGGAATAACATAACCAGTTAGGTATAGAACTCTAACTTGCCCTATAGGCAGTAGGTGGGGAAAGGGGAAAGAAAAGGGAGAGGGCTAATAGAAGGGAGACAGGACTGAGGGAGGCGGTGGTCAAAAGCAAAACACTAATGAGGAGGGAAAGGGAGAAAGGAGAAAGAAAAGCATAAATGGGAGGAGGGGATAGGATGGAGAGAAAGACACAGAAAGTAATCGTAACTGTGCATATAAATGGGATGAACTCTCCCATAAAACGGAAGTGGACAGCAGAATGGATTAAAAACCATAATCCTACAATATGTTGTTTACAGGAAACACATTTGAAACAGAGGGATACACACAGGGTAAAGGTAAAAGGCTGGAGTAGAATATATTGTGCTTTAGCTGAAGCAAAAAAAGCAGGGGTAGCAATCCTAATCTCAGACAATGCAAAAGCAAAAATAGATCTTACCAAAAGAGATAAGGAAGGAAACTACATCCTGCTAAAAGGCGTCATAGACAATGAAGTAATATCATTACTAAACATATATGCACCAAATGGTATAGCATCCAAATTCTTAGAGGAGAAAATCAGGGAGTTACAGGAAGAAATAAACAGCAAAACTATACTGGTGGGGGACCTCAACCTCCCCCTCTCTGAACTAGATAAGTCTAACCACAAAATAAACAAGAAAGAAGTTAAGAAGGTGAATGGAATTTTAGAAAAGTTAGGTATGGTAGACCTCTGGAGAAAATTGAATGAGGATAGAAAGGAATATACTTTTTTCTCAGTGGTACATGGCACCTACACAAAAATTGACCATGTACTAGAGCATAAAAACCTCACAATCCAATGCAAAAAGGCAGAAATATTAAATGCATCCTTTTCAGATCATGATGCAATAAAAATTACATGCAATAAAGGGCCACAGAAAGACTAAAAATAATTGGAAACTAAATAATCTAATCCTAAAAAATGAATGAGTCTAACAACAAATCATAAAAACAGTCAATAACTTCACTCAAGAGAATGACAATAATGAGACAACATACCAAAACTTATGGGATACAGCAAAAGCATTTCTTAGGGGAAGTTTTATATCTCTAAATGCTTACGTGAACAAAATAGAAAAAAAGATCAATGAATTGGGCATGCAACTAAAAAAAAAACTAGAAAAAGAGTTAAGAAAATAATGGAGACAATGTCAACAATGAAGACCAAGTGAAAAAGTGTGTCATGCTTATGTATTTTTCTAGAGTCAGTTGTTAATGTTAAGCATCACACCACTATGAACAGAAATTTAGAAAAGAACTGAAACCCAAGCACCATCAAGTACCCTGGAGTTTTCCCTTTATGAGTCCAACTCATTTTGAAGGCCTCATTCCTTTCCTTTTTAGAATCACCCCATTCCACACCTTCTCTCCCCACCTTCCTCCTTAAAGAACACAGATTTCTTGGCTCCTGCCAAAAAGCTTGTTCTGTGCAGCAGGAGGCTTCAGCAGTATTATTTGCCTTTCTTGATATCCCAGATTTCTGAGTCATCGACTTCTTTCCAACCAGCAGAGTTCAAAGGCAGCAGCTGCTGCTAAAATAATGATGATAATAATAATAATAGTGTCTTTGACCTCTGGGAGTTCTTGTAAGTGTGAGAATGTGGTGGCCCACAGAACTGAAATATGTATCAAAAGCATATTTCTCTAAATTTTGACTTGGAAGTACCCTTGCAAAACTAGAAGTCATTGCTTCCAAGATGAAAGAAAGGGAATGAGAATGGAGGAAATTTTAGGTCTTAGTGTGAATGATCTGATAGCATATTGTGTGTGTCTCTTCCTCTAGGTGCCACGTGTACGCCATCCTGTATAATCCCCCCTAGTGATCCAGTGATCCTGCCTGAAAACATCACCACTGACACTGTGGAACATTGGATGGAACCTACTAAGGTCCAGGTAAGGAGAGATATCATTAAGATTTAGGTATGAATGTGCTAAGTACTTTCAGAGCATGCAGAATTTTAAAAGAGTACCTGGGTGAGCCTGAGAGATCTTTAGAGGATTTTGAAATGAAGCAATGCGCAGTGGAAGGGTTTTGTTCTAACATGTGACAGGACCTGAGTTTAAATCATGTCGCAGACACTTACTACCTGGATGACTCTAGAAAAACTACTTCATTTCTCTGGGCCTCAGCTTCCTTTCTTGGTAAAATGAAGAGTTTGGACTTGTTGGTCTGAAAGATCCCTTCCAGCTCTCAAATCTAAGATACAGGGAATGAGAAAAGGTTGAAGGCTTTCATAGTACAAAAGACCAAAAAATTACATGTAACATTAAGGAAACACCAACTGGCGCCTCAGGCTGCAGCCGTATGCCCACTCCTTCTCTCTAAAAAGCTCCTTTGCTTTGGACTCAGGCACATAATCCACTATAAAACCTAGCCTCCAATGAGAGGGGTACTAGGCTCTGTTTTCCTATGTTCTTCAACTTGCTAACCCCCAACCCAGCACAGGAGGGACAAGTTATTTATAGCTTAGGATTTGGAGTCATGTCTCCCAAGAGAAAGAATAAAAAGATATTCAGTGTACAAGAGGAATCAGATATAGGACAGATATTTTATTCTAACATGTAAAAGAAATGCTAAACACTTAAAGGTAAAACACACATTGAGAAAATAGATTAAAACAAGATTCAGTATCGTAACATAACTACCGTTAAAATCTGCTAGGAAACTGACATTTCACCATCATTAAAACTCAAAACATTTTTCAGGACTGCTGACTAGGCATTTTGCATTTCACCTTTGCTCTGCACTGTCTTCATCAAAGAAGGGTTCCTATTATTGGTGGTCATCTTTTTTTCTTTTTTTTAAATTTTAAATTAAATATTTTATTTTTCCCAATTACATGTAAAAACAATTTTTTGCATTTTTTTTTAAATTTTGACTTCCAAATTCTAGCCCTATCTCCCCATTCTTTGAGAAGGCAGGCAATTTGATATAGATTGTTCATGTGCAATCATGAAAAACACATTTCCATATTAGTCATGTGAAAAAAAACATTAAAACTCATGGAAAAAATAAAGTAAAAAAATAACATGCATTGATCTACATTTAAACTCCATTAATTCTTTATCTGGAGATGGATAGCATTTTTCATCACAAGTACTTCAGAACTGTCTTGGATCTTTGTCTTAATCAGAGTAGTTAAGTCTTTCAAAGTTAATCATCACATGGTATTGCTGTTATTGTATGCAATATTCTCCTTGTTCTGTTCACTTCACTTTGCATTACTTCATGTAAGTCTTTCCAGGTTTTTCTGAAAGCATCCTGCTCATCATTTCTGATAGCACAATAGTATTCCAGCACAATCATATACAATTTATTCAGCCATTCCCCAAATGATGGGCTTCCCCTCAACTTCCAATTCATTGCCACCACAAAAAGAGCTGCTATAAATATTTTGTACATATAAGTAATTTTCTTTCTTTCTTTTCTTCCTTCCTTCCTTCCTTCTTTCTTTCTTTCTTTTTTTCTTTCTTTCTTTCTTTCTTTCTTTCTTTCTTTCTTTCTTTCTTTCTTTCTTTCTTTCTTTCTTTCTCTTTCTCTCTTTCTTTTTTTCCATCTCTTTGGGATACAGACCTAGTAGTGGTATTATTGTATCCTTTTACAAGGGTACACACAGCTAGGTGACACAGTGGATAGAACACTGGCCCTGGAGTCAGGAGGACCTGAGTTCAAATCCTGCCTCATATACCTAACACTGACTAGCTGTGTGACCCTGGGCAAGTCACTTAACCTCATTGCCTAGCCCAAAAAAAAAATACAAGGGTATGCACAGTTTTATAACTTTTTAAGCATAGTTCTATATTGTTCTCCAGAATGGTTGTATCAGTTCGCAGCTCTGCCAACAGTGGGTTGGGTATGAGTTATGGGTATGATGGGTATGAGTTGGGTATGAGTTGGTATCTCAGAGTTGTTTTAATTTGCATGTCTCAAGTCAATAGTGATTCAGAGCATTTTTTTCACATGACTATAGATAGCTTTGATTTCTTCAGCTGAAAACTGCCTTTCATGCCCTTTGACCATTTATCAATTGGGGAATGACTCATATTCTTATAATTTTGACTCTGTTCTCTATGTATTTGAGAAATGAGACCTTTATCAGAAGAATTTGCTGTAAAATTCCCTCCTTCCCCTCCCTCATTTTCTGATTTCCTTTTAATCTTGGCTGTATTGGTTTTGTTTGTGTAAAAAATTAATATTATCAAAAATATGGGGCAGCAAGGTGGCATAGTCAATAGAGTGCTGGGCCTGAAGTCAAGAAAACTCATCTTTGTGAGTACAAATCTGGCCTCAGACACTTGCTAGCTGTGTGACCCTTGGCAAGTCACTTAATCCTGTTTGCCTCAGTTTCCTCATCTGAAAAATGAGCTTGAGAAGAAAATGGCAAAGCATTCCTGTGTCTTTGCAAAGAAAATCCCAAATGGAGTCACAAAGAGTTGGAGACTACTGAAAAATGACCAAATGACAACAAAAAATCAGAATTTTACATTTTATGTCCCATAGTGCTCTCTATCTTTATTCATAAATTCTTCCCTTATCCACTGATCTAACAGGTTAATTATTTCATAACCCCCTAATTTGCTTACGGTATCACCCTTTATGTCTAAATCATGTATCCATTTTGATCTTACCTTGGTGTACAGTGTGAGATTTGGTCTATTCCTAGTTTCTGCTGGTGGTCATCTTTATCTCTGAGCAAACTCCCATTGCCATCAGTCTGCTTCACTCAATGGACCTAGGACTCCAAAATTCTTGAATTCACAAGGTTGCTTCCAAGCCTGGCCCCATCTGTCTTGAGATTGCAGCTTAGTAATTTACTGAAGAAAGGAAATACAATGTGGAAAAGGCAGCCAGTGGATCAGGGAAAAGCTCATCTAATAGAGCCACATAAGAATGGTTACCAGGATGTTTATAAGCCCATCATCAGCCTCTCATTGTAAATCTTTAAGTTTGATAATGTGCCTTGTAGGGTCAAAGGAAGAGAGAGCTAGATGAAAGTTATCTCTCCTTTTAACTGAAGCATCACTCCTCCCTGACCACTATAATGAAATGGGTTAGGAGCAAGGGATCACTCAGTCATCTGTTCCTCCAGCTTAGTGGCTAATGAGTATATCATTCCATCTTTTCAAGGTACCAAACCATTTCAGCCCAAACTAAATGAGGGTGATTACTGTGAAAGGAGACAGAGGAAAGAAGAGAAGAAAAAAATTAGGAAACATAATAGAGAGAAAGAGACAAAGAAAGGATGATAGAAGAAGAAATAAGTTTAAAAACACAACTGAGAAAGAGGAGAGAATGAAAAACAACAGAGAAGAAAGGACAAGTTTTAGGAAGTAGAATAAAAAGTTATCAATCTTAAACTGATCAAAGCTTTAACTTAGTAGTCTCTAGGCAGCTAGGTGGTTAATTGGATAGAGTGCCAGGCCTGGAGTCAGGACGACCTGAGTCAAAATCCAGCTTCAGACACATTAGCTGTGGAACCCTGGGCAAGTCGCTGAGCCCTGTTTGCTTTAGTTCCTCATCTGCAAAATGAGCCAGAGAAGGAAATTGCAAACCACTCCAGTATCTCTGCCAAGAAAACCCAGATAGAGTCACAAAGAGTCATATGTGACTGAAACAGCAGAACAACAACAACTCATTATTACTTTTTTGGCGGTGAGGCAAATGGGGTTAAGTGACTTGCCTAGGGTCACACAGCTAGTGTCAAGTGTCTGAGACTAGATTTGAACTCAGGTCCTCCAGACTCCAGGGTTGGTGCTCTATCCACTACACCTCCTAGCTGTTGCCTAGGTTGAGAGAAGTAAGGTGAGCCAATCATCAGAGAAAGGGCAGGGTGTTAGTTGCCTAACTAGGCTATGTTGGCAAAAGAAATGCTGGGTAGGCTGTTTCCATGGAGTCACCAAAAGGTTTTAATCCCTGGAGTTGAGCCTGTTTCATTCATTAAAAAAAAAAGAGAAGAAAAAAATCAGAGTCTAGGATCACTCTATCCCCCTAAACACATTAATCACACAAGACTTATTTCAGGGATTTATGTCAGAACAGAAAGAGCCTAAGCACTTGCATCTGCCATTCATGCTGACGAATGATACAACCCTCACATTAGAAATCTTGGAGAAAAAAACAAAAACAAGCAAAAATTTTAGTGCCTCTCCAGCCTTTCTTACTAATAGCAGTTTATAATACCATTGTGAGGTAAGTCAGTATAGGTACTCTCATTATTGGATTCAGTGGATTAGATTGATGGTAGGCCAGGATCCACAAATCTTAATAGGCATAACTAAATAAGGGTCTGAGAATAAGTGGGCATTCTGTTATATCTGCTATGCAAATAAAACATTCAGGAGTTTTCTTGTCCAGTTGAAATTGTGATGAGTATTTTCCTGAAGATAGGCCTATCAATTACCTAAGAAATAAAATTTCATTTCATTATTAAGTCACTTCTCCATGCTGATTCTCCCACCCTATCCCAGAACTTCCCACATACACATTTATAAGAGCTAGTATTATTCCTTGCTTCTGCTTTATAAATTTTAGGTGTACTTTTTATAGCATAATATTTACTTGAGAAATATCATTCCTATTCTATCCCAAAAGTTAGTACATTGGTGACACAATCAAATGGAAACAATAAAACACTTGGAATCCAAAGGCCTTGGTTTGACTCTTAAGTCTACTACTTATCATCTTTGTGACTTTGAACAAGTCCAAGACCTTGGATCTGGACATTGCATTTGTGGATCTTGGTCTCAGTTTCCTCATATGTAGGAAAAAAAATGTATTGGACTAGATGTTCCCTCACGTCTCTTTCAGTACTTGAATCCTATGATGAAAAATTCTGATGGAAAAGAATAAGAGAAATGGTTTTACCATTATTTATTGTTGTGATAACATATTT